TGATATATCTTCTTAATCGAAACAAAAACTAAGGAGTAAACGGAGAAGTAAAATCGTCAAAATCTATGCTAATTAAGACCGGGTATCCAAACCTCTTTCGCAGTTGTGATTTTCTTTGTTTTAACTTGATGAATTATTAATGAGTTTGAGAAGCTTTTTACTTACTGGTAAACTTGTACACTTCCATACTCCAGGGTCCTCCTCTTCCATCTGGCTTGCACGCGCTTGAGGCTCCATACATGTTGTATGTTTCTAGAATATCCTTACCGCCTAAACACTGGCCGCCATTTTCCAAAGCAAAGGCAGGAAATCCCTGGACCCTCGCGATGGTTGAACATTTTTTAATTGCATATTTGCGTAACATGTAGTCGTTTCCATCTAACATTGGGAATATTCCTTCCAGACTAGGAAGCGCTCTCTCGGGTTGATCTCGCCAACAGCCGATGCTAAAATAATCTGTGGGAGAAGTACTGTAAATGCAAACGGCGGCTAACCATAAAACCCTTCATATACAACTACGTAAAATTTCAACGTTTATTCCGTTTGTCCTTTAATACACGAGGCCCCACCAAAACATTTCACAGGTATAGGCCTTGGGAAAAACGCAACTAAAACTGCCATACAAACTGAGAAAACCGTTAAAACCGAGTGAACTGAGGTTTGAAGTCGGTGGCCCTCGTGGTCTCCGTTCAAAAAGGACCATCTGTACGTATGCACGAGACTAAAAACCGCTGCTGGCACAGGAAAACCCACCTAGGTCATAAAAAACTCAGCAGGCACAAATACAATGACTTTCTTTTACTTGTCGAGTCTTTGTGAGGCAATCCCCAATTGACAGATACAAATACCCACTTCGAAATGACATCAAGTCAATGGCTTACTAAGCTTAATAATCTATGCTGTGCTACTAACCTGGAGCATGTTTAGTTCTGTTCATGCCACCTTTGGAGAAAACTGAAAAAAACGTTGTTAATGCTGAACGCCGGTGAACAATAGAGGTCTAGTCTTGTGTTTACAATTATGTTGTTAAAGATGTTCATGTCCTCTGATAATTCACCTGGCTGATTATCGTATATTTATTTTAAGGTTAACTCTGAGAATCTCGTTCCATATAGGGTGGATATCTTCTATTTGATGATTGCCTTTATTCTCATAACCTGATGTTTATAAGATTATCGATACTGTGAGGAGAAATTGGCCTTAGGTCACTTTACCATGTGGGCGAGATGGCTGAAACTTTCTTTCCCTTGTATTATCAATGGGTTCTAAGAGTAACAAAACAAACATCAAGTTTAGCAAGTTTTCAGTCTTTTTCTGCCGGTGTTTCTGGCCTCATTGCAATATTGATTACTTTTTAGATTAACTACAAGTTCTTAGTGTTATTTATAGTCAGTAATGAATAGATGGTCTAGACGCATGCCATATAGGTCTTAAACTGGGCGAAGAGGAAACGTGGATAGGGAAGGACGAAGAAACAAATATTGCTACACAGAAAGGAAGCTACAACGCTACGCTTTTTCATTAACCAACACCTATGCGGCACTAAGAGAAGGGAAGTATATTTACTTCTGTACATTACTTGCTAAAAATTTCGGACGTTTTAGTTTGGGCGTTTAATTTTCGGACACCGGACACTTTTTATCTCATTTCGGACAAATTTCAGACAAAAATTTCGGACACTTTGCTGAAGCATAGCTTAAACAGCAGCTGAAAAAATGATAGTTTGACTGCTCCTTCCAGGTTTTACGGAAACACCAACGAAAAAATGGCACAAATTCTATCAAGCCATTACATATCTCAAGCATTGTCTCAACTAGAATTCCTCCAAAATGGAAACTAAGAGCTTTCGAACTACTTAAAAGCTTTATACTGTACTGTAAATATTTCGGACGTTTAAAAAGTTGAGACGGTTTTATTTTCGGACCCTCTTTTTGTCCGAAATTAATATCGTCCGAGATTTTTTTGCAAGTAATGTAAACAAACGAGAGTAGGAAAGAATGCAATTATTATTCGATGAATTGATTAGGCGCAAAAAGCAGATGGTTGAAATATAATACCTGGAAGTATTTGTGCCAAGTTGTTAAGCTGAATTGGATTGAGTAACCGCTGACCACCTGGCGTTTTTATGACCTGCGGTTTCACGGGCATATTAAAATGCGGTGCTGAGGCAAAGAGGTAAACATTTGTCAGTAAGAAAGCTTTTTTGTTGAACTTTTAACGACAATGTTTTCTAACTGCTCAATGGTCATCTTGATTAATGGGTTTAACCGTGCCATTTTTTGCATGGTTGATGATCTTTTTCTACATTTCCTTGACCCCTATGATTGATTACGTATCAATCGACTGATTAGGAATTTTACTTTTATATATCCCACAACTTTTTTAAAAGAACATAGAAGACCTTATGCGTCTCAAGGCGCGACAAGGACT